CAGAGCTTGCAGGGAATATACTAACCACCTAATAAGGATAGATGAAGAACACTTTATTAGGTGCAAGTATTCTACACAGTCAAATGCATTAAAGCATTACCCAATTGCAATGAAGGATTTTTCCTAAACAAGTGATACATAATCTCAAGCAACAGTTACCTCTGACAGAATGGCTAGGATGTTTTCCAGGTGGTGCGGGTATTGTGCTCTACGATTAGGGTTGGAGTCAGACATCATACCTCCCACATAGTGAAGCAGGGTGGTACCTAGGAACTTTGAGTCTTTTATGATGTCAGCCAGGTGCTGCAGGGTGCCTCTGTCCGTCCTTGAACTGAAGGCTTTGCATAGCGCAAGGCACACAAGCTGGATGAGGTCAGGTCTCATTGGTGTCTCAGAAAGCAGGAGTTGAAAGCCAGGCTTTGAGGAAAGAGTAATAGCCACAACAGATGGCTCCTGTTGCGAGAGTTCTTCCAGTGTTTTATAACCCATTTTACGAGGGCCAGCACCATCTTTTTTCTCTTCCCCGCCTTCCCTTCGGTCTCCATTGGGCGCTCCTCTCCTTATACCTATTCCTGCTGCTCCTCCTCCTTGCCTCTCAGCTCCACCTGGGTGTTCATTTCTGCCTCCTCCAAACCTCTGCCTGTCTGCACCTCTTCCTCTATGTCCACCCCTTCCTCCTCTCTGTCTATCTGAATCTCTTTGGCTATTTCCTTGGCTTTGTGCTCTTCTTCTGACCCCTTGTTCACTTGTTCCGTCTCCCTGCAACCCGCCTCGTCTTGGTCCTCTTTGTCCATACCCACCTTCATGTTGGCCAGTATCGATATCTGAAAGACAAAAAAGAAAAAAACTATAGTTAGGCTAAATAATAAAAGTGAAAAGGAAATGCATGTACAGTACCATTCAATTTTATTCATAAACATTGATTTTTTTTATCTGATTTTTCTCTTTACACCTACAAACTTTATGCTTTCTGGAGTCATTCATGAAATTATTGTGAAATGTAAGTAAAATGACACATGGTTCTCAAAAATTCTCTACATTTGGATCCAACCTTTTATACTCACATATCCATAAATAAAATCCTGTGCCACCAAGTCATCTAATTAAACAATAGATAATGTTTTGATTTAATAGTAGTAAAAATAGATTCAGAGTATATAAATGAAGAAAATAGTATCTTTATTATAAAAAAAATCCAACAGACACATTAGAGATCATTTCTGAACTTTCTTAAACAAAATGCCCACAAAGTACTGTGCAAAATATTATTCCAACATGGAAACCTAATAATAAAAGGCCAAGGAACCAAAAAGCCGAAAAAAGGACAGAAGGGAGAACTTAGTGACAGTATAGCTGAAATGCAAGAACAAAATGTTGCTGATGAAAAAAAAGCAAATAGGTTTCCTCATTTGCAGCTTGTCACAACCCTCATATATGAGGCATATATACAAATAATGATATAATTAAAAAAACGGCTCAGACGTTATCTGAATTTATTTCTGAGATGATATATAGATGATATGGGGGAGTGTTGGTCTAGTGTGTTAAACCCATCTCAAAAGGGTTGGGTTAAAAAAAGTGAATTTCCCTATTGAGGGAAAATAAAGGGATTTACATGACATTTAAATATTTCTACTCCTACGCCTTTTTTGTTTGTTGTTAGTATTGCACCGATACCAGTATCGGCTGGGGCCCCGATCCACCACTAAAATGGTGGTATTGGTAAGTAACGACGAACGGGGCACCGATACCATTTTGAGAGCCAAAAGTTTATTCAACTATTGTCACCCATTCCAGGCAGGCGATAAAAAGCTCTACTGGATTCACTTATTAGTAGGGATGCACGATATAATCGCCCCCCTATCGGTATCGGCCTGTATCGGCCTTAAAACTGAATATCGGACATCGGCCACCCCACCGATATTTAAGCCGATATTTGATCAGCTTCTGAGTTTCTTAAGTCTAAAAAAAAAAAAAAAAAAATACTACTTCTTCCTCTTCCTCAAAAACTTATTTTTTACAGACTTAAAAACTTCTAAAGACAGGGGAAAAAATATTGATATATTAAAATATCACAATATCTTCATATGCTGATATATTGCCATTTAAAAACACCATATCAATCTTTTTTACTAATGAAATATTGCTATATGTCATCGTTATGCTACGAAATGTTGCCATATTTTTATATGTTGATATATTGACGCGGTATCGATCTATTTTACTAACAAAATCTCACAAGAATTTGCAAAATATCACGAGAGTTCGTAACAGAACGACGAAATTTCACGAGATTTTGAAAGCAAAATAGATCGATACCGTGTTTTTAAAAACCAATTTGATATCAGCATATGAAAATATATTTGAGTATATTATTTTTTAAAGTGTCAGAAATGGATAACAAAACTGCTATTTTCAAGGACTACTTATTTTTGTCCAGCATTAACATCGGTATCGGTATCGGTTATCGGCTACATGAGTTTTAAAATATCGGCATATCGGATATCGGCCAAAATCCCAATATCGTGCATCCCTACTTATTAGTCTTTTTCCTGCTTCACAAAGGTAGGCAGCAGCTTGACAAAGCCATGATGGCAATTATTTTACATCCAAGTAGTATGCAGTTCTTCATATATACACACACATTAATTTCAAACAGAGGCTATCGGTATCAGGGCCAAAAAAATGGCATCTGCGCAACACTAGTTGTTGTTCTGTGTTGCAAATTGGCACTATATAAAGAAACTAAGTTGAACTGAAAACAAAGACTATGAATTTAACAAGACACAATGTAAAAATATCCCAGGAGTAAAAATTCTGCTGCAAAACACTACTGTATGCGTGTGTGCATGTGTACTCCACTATTAACATGTGAACTCACCATTTTGAGGCCCTCTTCTCCCTGACCTTGAAGCCAACCTTTCCATGGTCTTTCAGGAGGAAACTGCTGATTTCTAGGTAAAGGGGAAGAAAGTGAAAATATCTAAATTCCATATCAAAATGGTAAAAAGAAAAAAAAAAAAGCAATGTGATTAGTTGAATTTCCTTGTAAAACATTGCAAGCCAACAGCTCCATTGCTAAAGAGAGTATTGCAGTCAGATAAGAGAGAGATACTATCATTGTTTATGTTAAAGCAGGAAATAAAAGCAAACTGTCAGCTTGCCTTTCAGTTTAACAGCAAAATGGAACTACGTTTGACAGGAAAATATATGACTTTTCATTAAAGTACTCACACTGCGAAGAACTAAGAGTTATAACATTTTCTTGCGCAGAAAATTTTTTAAAAACAATTTTAAGCGACGAGCAGCAACAATCGAATGACTTCATCAGAGGGGAAACTGCGCCCTCTAGTTGCGAAACCTCATTTCCGCGTCTCTGTAAGTTTCCTTTTCTCTCGAAACGGATGCCAGTTTTCACAACGATAACAACAAACGTAAATGTCTTAAACCACCCAAACGCCTACTTGTTTTGAAGCGTCGTCTGATGGAAAAATATTATTATTTATTCCTCACTTCTTGCGTTCACTCAATGTCTGTAATGCATCATCAAGTTAAGGATATTATCATAGCTTTTATTAGAAATCGCATCTCAAATATTTCCTGAATTCCATTATGAAATGAAACTCACCTTTACTGAAATTTCCGTACGAATAATATCAAAGAAATGAACTAGTAAAAATATAGAAAGGTCCAGTTCAGCGGAAGCTGTCTGTGATTCTGACTGCGCCAGCAGAGCAGGCACGCCTTTAAATGTCTGCTAGTTTTCGTTTTCGTTTCATCAGAAATAATTTACCACGCCTCGTGAACACAGCATGACTCAGATATTATTCACCGAATATCACCACAACTCCAACTGATTGTTTTGATATAAAGATAGAGCAGGGAAAACCAATTTTTAATATGACAAGACAATCTTAGGAGACAAAACTGAATTGTTTAGCTTAAAAATAAAATATAGCCAAGTAAAAAATAAATAAATAAAAAAAGAAAGATTGATTAGCTGTAATTTTATCTTTAACTTACCAGCTCCGCACTGAGCGGGTGTCAGGTGGCGCTTCTTCTGTTTATAACAGCAGTTCAGAGCAGTGTTATTTTGCAGCAATTCCTTTAAAAGATTTGCCCGATAAACCAGACTAAATGTGAGATAAAATGTGTAATTTAACTCGCAAGCAAAAATGATTGAACATTGCAACAATGAAGAGTAGAATGGAGAGATTTGATTGTAATGGATTATTCTTTAACAACCAATTAAAGGCAATTGGTAATTTAAAAAAAATAAAAAATCATGAATTTAATATTTGATGTATTGGTTATTATTTCATTTATCTGCTCGCAAGAAAATATGGCAAGTAGATTAATTTATAATTTTCAAACCATTTTAATTTTTCATATATTAACATTTACTTGACAACAAAGACACTGTGGTTAATTATGCACATAAATATACTGAAATTAAAGTTAAGTACAAAATCCATGCCCTTTTCAGAACTATATTTTGTGTTATATGGGTAAAGAGAAAATGATGTGTCTCTGCAACATCTAGGAGTCTTCAGTAAAATCCTAGATAAATAACTACTTTAATAAAAAGTATTAAATAATCAATTTATGTAGATATTTCACTTGTAAATATCTTTTTTTTTAGAATGATTATTGATAAAAATAATTAATGACAATGGAAAAGATGTTTGCCCCAGAACTTAAACCTCAAAGAATTGTATTCACTATATATGCGTCTATTTGTTAGTAAAGGCTGTAGGAAAGGATAGTTTGTCTTCATTTAGAAAATATGGATGCTCATTAATTTTCATGTTGGAACAGTGTAGCTTAACCCTGAGGTTTTGTCGCCTATCCACTTTTGCCCACCCCTCAGTTTACATTGGTTATTGCCTGGCCATCCTTATGAAAATTTTCTGGCTATGTCTCTGAAATGAGACTCCCGCCCACTTTCTTATCGCTCCTAGCTGGGCCATCCGCCGGGTAACCGGTAAGGAACTGACCCTTTCCCTCAGCTGGAGCTGACGTCGTAATTGTGTCTTAGCAGGGAAGCTAACGCTGATGTAGACCACTTCCGCCGCCAATGTAAACGTGAAGCGGTCCTTTGGCTCCAACTTATAGCTATTTTAGACAAGGGTATAAAACACTAATGGCTCTCTTAGCAGAGCTATGGCTTACAGAACCAGAGCAGTGTGATGCTAGCTGTGTTCCCAGCTAGCACAATAGCATTAGAACTGTCCAGGGCCGTGACATTTTGAAGGCTACTAATGCTAATTAAACAACGGCTAGTTACTTCCTTGTTGACATGTACGGCAGGCTAATGGAGAAAACAGAAAATGGGAAGAAATGATTTGCAATAAGGACGCGTCGAGAAGAGGAGCGAAATGAACTCTGCTAGAAGTGATCGGGCTCCGTCACCGATGAATGGAAGACAAGGTAAATGGAAAACCGTGTAATATTCAAAGTTACATTTAAAGCTGTGAGGCTGACTATACATTGTAGGGCACATATATACTGTTTAAATGCAATCAATTCCCCAAAGTATAGTTGTTAGCTGTTTAATTTTTAACTGTACCGCTAAAAGTAGACTTAAACTTAACCCGAGCTCTCTTTCAGTAGACTGGGAAACCAGGCGGACACGGAAAATCGCAGACATCACCCAGGCCCTGAGTGTCGATCCAGTGGATGTAGCAATGCTGAGGAGGATGGCAATCAGTGAGGGGGGGCTCTTGACTGATGAGTTACGCCGTCAGGTCTGGCCAAGGCTCCTCAACATCCCCCCTCACCTCTTGGACCAAGAGCCTGGTACTGTTTATTTCATCCATCTACTTTTACTAGTGCTTCTACAAAGTAAGGGGTCATCTTACTGTTTCTTTTGTAGAGTTTGCAGGAAAAATAAAGCTAAGAAAAATATGCTGTATAATGTATTCTTCTCAGCTCTGCTTCAATATCAACTGGTAGCAACAGACTCCAAATTGCTCTTGCAACTACAGTTGCCCCACAGACCTTTAAAGGAATAGTACACCCAAAACATGATTAGCCTTCATTTTCTACTCACCCCCATGCTGAACAACACTCTGGAGTACTTTTTTGATATCTCAAATGCATCTGGAGATCTGGGAGGCTTCTTGTTGTCTGCTGACATTCAAATAATGGAGGTCTATGGTGCCCGAGGCAGAAAGGTCCATAAAAGTCCACAAAAAACGTGTCAATATTCCTCCATACTGCTCGTCCAATGTATTCCAAGTGTCCTGAGTGGGTAGCATCCAGAATTTACTCGAAACGAAGTCATTTAGAATGTTTTTAGAGCATAAACAGTAGTGTGAAGGTTTTCCTGAAAGCGCGCGCCAGCGCGTTCACGATGCTACGGAAGCCGGCAGACCAAACCAGGGCCGTTTCTCAATATGCGTTCTTGAGCGTTCTCGTGTGCTCGTGTACTCATGACACGTCATCAGCCTATGCCCGAGTACCGTTCCAATTCTCAAGAACGCCAGATCGAGAACGCATCAAATCCCCGGATGTTGTTCTCACCCCGCCCTCTTTATCGAGCATGCATCAGAGCAGACTTGTGCGTTCTTCAGACTGACCGCTTTCCCAGAATGCCCCGCGGCCGCAGCTTGATTCCAGACAGCGCTCACAGTGTTAAGTTAAACATTCCATTTTCTGCTGCTGTTGTTCTTCAAAAGTACGTTTTGAAATCGTTTGATGCGATAACATTATACATTGAAGCCTCCCTGTGTGGCCTGTTTACAGAGTTAGTGTGAAATAAAAAAAAAGTCCGACGTTGAGCGGACCAGAGTGACCAGCAGACCTCCGAGGGTAACCGCAGCCAGGGCTAAATTTACCCCGTCTGTAGTGCACTTCTCTCGGTCTAGTTATGTGTGAATTACCGCTCGTTCTGATGGCGATTTTTTGCGGTTCGGTAATTTTTTTTAATGTTTTTTAAGCTTTAGAAATTAAAAATATTGTTTTCAAAATGTTTTGTGTAGGGAATAAATAGTTTTGACTGTTAAAGAAATGCTAAACAACGTTGCCTGTGATGACGTCACGAGTACGCTTCTGCTCCAACGCGAGTACGTACTCGCGTTCTCGTGAATTGAGAAACGCCCCAGATGAAAGTGCGCATTCAGCGTCTGCTCTGCCGGTAATGCAAGCGTAGAAGAAGAAATGTGCTGTTTACCTGTGCAAAGAAAGAAACAACGAAAGAAATATATCTGAGGACTTCAGTGTTGAGGAAGAGCATGAGTTCTTTGCCGAGCTGAATGCGCACTTTCATCTGGTTTGGTCTGCCGCGGTTTCCGTAGACTCGTGAACGCGCTTTTAGGAAATACTATACACTACTGTTTATGCTCTAAAAACATTCTAAATTACTTTGTTTCGAGTAAAATTCTGGATGCTACCCACTCAGGACACTTGGAATACATTGGACGAGCAGTATGGAGGAATATTGACACGTTTTTTGTGGACTTTTATGGACCTTTCTGTCTCGGGCACAATAGACCTCCATTATTTGAATGTCAGCAGACAGCAAGAAGCCTCCCAGATCTCCAGATGCATTTGAGATATCAAAAAAGTACTCCAGAGTGTTGTTCAGCATGGGGAAGAGTAGAAAATGAAGGCTAATCATGTTTTGGGTGTACTATTCCTTTAAGGGTTGCATTGTTACTTTCTAAACAGGTACAAGTTCCCCCACACAGTGTCAATGTTAATACAAATATGTCTTTTCCAGGAAAAGTAGAGCGGGAAAACGATAAGGACTACAACCAGGTCTTGCTAGATGTTCAGCGTTCTCTGCGAAGGTTTCCACCTGGTGAGCAGTGTGCAGCAAATGAGAATATAAGCTCTGCCTTTGTAGCGTGCCTTTATTAGGAACATGGTTCAATCCAACAAAAACTGTCATTAAAGCTCAGATAAAGACATTTCTAATCTGGCAAAATTTTTACCCTTATTTGCTGGCTAAGAAATATCTGCTTTTAATCAATGCTGGTGTAATATTTCAGCCACATTATGCCACCATCATTACATCAGTCATTATGAATAGCCATGTTTTTCTCCAATACTTTTATTTATTTAAATTTAGGACAATTTTCTTTTGAGACAGCCTGAAAGCTCTTAGTTGTACAGAAAAGGCTCTGTTCATTTAGCTGTTTTTTATTTTTTTAAAGTTATCATCCTCTCTATTGCTTTGCAGAGATGTGGGTAGAGTAGCCCAACATTTTACTCAAGTAAGAGCATCACTGCTTTAAGATTTTGTTTTTTACTCAAGTGAAAGTAGAAAGTAGTCGTCCAAGAAATTACTCAAATGAGAGTAAAAAAAGTAATTTAACTGGCTATTTAACTTCTAGGTAATATCTGTTCTAATGTTCATTAATATTGCATCAGAGAGAAAGTTATAAAAATTCGGGATTTCAAAGTATAAAATAAAAAATCTAAATGACATGATTACTAAATAACAAATAGGGGTAGAAAAAGCCGTTTTCTATATCAATAACTTATAAAACCAGTTGAAAGGCTAAGCATACATGTTTTCAAATAACAATAGCATAGTTTTACAAGAACACTCATTAAAGAATGGTAAAGTATAATTATTTCTAATGCGTTTTTTTTTAAAGTTACTCAAATAAATCTAACTAGTTATGGAAAAAACAGAGATGGGTAGCATGTTGTGACATTAAGAGTCCTGCCAAATATTATCTAAAAGCCTACGGCTGTATTTCATCTGTAATTTGCTTGTACAGGTATGCCAGATGAGCAGAGAGAAGGCCTTCAAGAAGAACTAATTGACATAATCCTGAGGGTTCTGCAACGTAATCCGCAGCTGCACTACTACCAAGGATACCATGACATTGTTGTCACCTTCTTGTTAGTCGTTGGAGAACGCCTGGCAACTGTTCTAGTAGAGAAACTCTCCACACATCATCTCAGGTATCTGCAAAAAGCGTTTTATCTCTATTTTGTTTTATTGTGTTTGGTTTATCTTTAAAGGCTAAATTTGACTTCATATTAGGAATGCAGATTTTTGATTGATGAAATAAACTACATTTGAATAATCTTTTTGATCGACTAAAGAGTATTTGAGAAGTGGCTATTTCCTTTAAAAAGTGAGTTTTCTCTAGTATCAAGAAGATTTTTCCATACTATGCAGGGCCAAATATTTTTACAATTTGCTGACTTTAAAAGAATTCTGGGGTTTATCTAGTGTTTATATTTACAAACAGAACCACATAAAGTGTATCTGCAATGTTGCCATTAAAAAGTGTAAATAATCCTGGACCAGACTGTAGATCAATTCATGTTGCTGCTCTAGAAACATTCCTCTTTGGCATTACTTCTATTTACAAATACCAGTGAGGCTTTGCTTAGAATGAACAGCTGTGCCCCATAGTGGACGACACAAACACTACGACACTAAAAGAAACTCCTTCTGAAGGGCTGGTTCTACTCCCCGCAGCAGTGTGTCGCAGTGAGCTTGTCACAGATATTTTTGATTTATGCTAAATATTGAAGCGTGGTCTGCGCCATGTTACTCCACGCCACAACGCAAGACGGACAATCATGAAGTAGATGTGGGTCTAGATACGGCCGAGGCGGGGAGGAAGTGGGGGCAAGTTGGTGCGACAACGAAGGGACATGAGGGCGGATGAGGGATGCAAGTGTTCTCGCGCACCCCACTCTTCTAGCTGGTCCAACTTCATGAGTCGTTTTCCGCAATACCGGTCATACAGACAAAACAAGCTGCTAAGGTACCAAACAGGAAATACGCATACTATAGAATGGATGTAGATTTGACCAATCAGAGGCCTCCTGTCTGCGGCACTGTCTGCGGTCATCTACAATTTGGGAAAGGTGCAGCAGAGTGTCTGCGGAGGGGCGGGGGCGCCTCTGCATTCACTGTGACGCCTACGCAGACGGCCTAGTTTAAAAGTATAAATTAGCCTTAAGCAGACATGATCAATTAATTGGGTTGAACAAATTTTAATCTAATAAGCAATTAATCATGAGTGTTTACATTATTTGTTTTGCCCCCCCTTTACAGGGACTTCATGGACCCCACGATGGACAACACAAAACACATTCTTAACTATCTGATGCCTATCATTGAAAAGGTCAACCCTGAGGTGCATGACTTCATGCAGCAGTAAGTTTCTCTTTAAATTTACATACAACTGGTGCTTAGAGATGTTCCAATAATCAAAATGAAAGGGTAATAAACTGTTTAAAATAGGAATTCCCTTTAGATAAATGAAAATAAATAGAAAAAAGGTTAAATACATTTGCTTTGCCTTTAGAAAGACGGTTCATTTTAAATGTAGGAATTTACTGAGCTCTGAATGAAATCTTGCAATGGCTAACGTGTAATCCTTATGAACATGTACTGTTGTCAAAAAACAGAAGAAATGTCTTTTTCAAAAGGTAAAATTTACTGATATATATAATGCTCATCGATATGCACAAAGTTAGAATATTTTTATGCTTTTAAATGAAGACACTGTAGTCTTTAACAGAACACTGATCCTATTATGATGGCTTAACTTTAGCCGTAAGCAACATGTCATTAAATCCTTTCCTCTTCCGGTTGATTCCATAAATTGCCTTTTTAACTGACCCTTTCTATCTGATCTTCACTTCTCTCTCACAATGTCTGGTTGTTGTATCATATGGCATACACTTTATAGGGGACACAAAGCTATAGTCGGACAAACAAAACATTATCTCAGGCTCGCTTATTTAGTTAATCTCATTACAAGTCTTTTATTAATTCTCAGGGCTGAAGTGGGCACGGTCTTCGCTCTCAGCTGGCTGATAACCTGGTTTGGCCATGTGCTCTCAGATTTCCGCCATGTTGTACGGTTGTATGACTTCTTCCTGGCCTGCCATCCACTGATGCCAATTTATTTTGCTGCTGTGGTAAGTTTCCTGCCATCACTGCTTGCTTGAGCATTTCTTCAGTCCCGTTTAAAATAATACATTTGCATTGTACAGTAAATGTACTCTGTAGTCTCTAAATGTAAACTTTACTTTATTGGGATCCTTGTGCATGACTTGCTACATATATACTTTTGTAATTTTGTAAAAACAGAGTTTATACAAAAAGAAATTTCATTTTGTACAGCTTTAAGACCGTAAATGAGCAGAAGCTTAGCAGTGAAATGAAGATTTCCATTCCATAAAGTGCTGCAGTGATCAAATCAGATCAGTGTGGGAGAAAGAAACATGGTGCAAAAACACATTAATATGGAAGTTCAGAGCATTTCAGACAAATATATATGGTGCAAATATGCAGTATTTTGGTTTGGTGTCATCAGTGTGATGCAGAGTCTGTGACTTGATTTAGATTTTTTTTCAACAGTTCAGCTGTCTGATGACAGTGGAGAAAAAGCTATTGCAGAATGTGCTGGACCTGCAGCGGATGCTGCGAAGCCTCTTCCCAGAGGGCAGCAGGGAGAACAGTCCATGGTGGGGGTATGAGGGGTCATTGATGATGTCACGCAGCACTTGAATGAAATGTCTTTTGTTGGGGGAAGAAGAGCCCCGATGATCCTCTGACCCGGACTAACTGAGGTCTGTTTGTGAGGACGTCTAGCAGCCAGTTGCTAAGAGGTGTATTGAGGCCCAGCTTTTCCAGTTTGCCTGTCAGATGCTGTGGGATGATGGTGTTGAAAGCTGAACTGCAGGAGTCCAGGGACTGCATCTGCATGTGGGTGTTCTTCTCCTCCAGGTGTGCTAGGTTAAGGTGAAGAGAAGATGGCGTCCTCAGTGGAGCGGCTCTGTCGGTGGGCAAACCGGAACAGGTCGAATGTTGGGGGGAGACTAGAGACAATGTGTTCTTTAACCAGCCTTTCAAAGCACTTCATCGCGATAGGAGTCAGTGCAACAGGCCGATGGTCATTGAATGGGATGACCTGAGGCTCCTTCAAAGTGAAATTTGACATAGTCGTTATTAGCTACAGAGTTAAGGAAGGTGACAGCCTAGATTATTAAGTTTTTATTATTTACTTGGATTAATCATTAATTTTGACAGCACTGTCTAATGTTTATAAATATTTTATTGCCCTGCACTTTTCTTTTTTCTCTTCTTTTCCGGTTTTCTTATCTTAAATTCAATGCCCTTGCAAATTCCCCTGGCTGAGCTTGGTTAAACATCTACAGTGCCTTGCGAAAGTATTCGGCCCCCTTGAACTTTTCAACCTTTTGCCACGTTTCAGGCTTCAAGACATAAAGACATAAAATTTGATTTTTTTTTTTAAACCTGATATAAACTGGCATCCTAGCAAGTTCAATTCAAGAATTTATTGTCATTGTCAAAAAAAGGCAACGAAATTGTGTTTGGGGTACAATACTTAGTAGCAGCACGTTCCAAGTAAAGTGCACAAGTTATATAGATTGTTAAAATAGTAAGAGATTACAGCAGAAATTTCCATTAGTTTACATCTAATTTAAGTTATTAGCCCACTTAAAATAAAAAAGGATTAAAACAACTTGTTAATAAGATGTGTAGTATGATATATATAAGAGTTCTACTCTGGGAGAAATGAGACATTAAATGTTTCAGACATAACCTTTTGATCACATTAAAACTTTTTCACATTTTGCACAATGAAACTTGTGCTGAAGTATAATATAAATTCCTGTATCTTTTGTCATTTTAAATAAACCGTTTTAGCTTTTTTACTAAGATAAATTATATAATAGTAAAAACATATCATTATCCATCAATAAAAATTTAATGTCATTAGAATATGAGCAAATCTGACTTAAATTCAATTTTTCATGTCTGTCCTTTTACCATTTAATGGTTGTCTAAATATGCCGCTTCAAGATGATTTATGGAGGCTGTTTTGATACGATTCATTAAACCAAATCACAATGAGCACTGCATGCCTGCAATGTTGCAGAAATATCCACATGCTGTGAGATCTTTAGCTCTTCATATCTAAGGGCTGCAGACACCATATGTGAGGACACGCAGATTTTTTTTTTTTTAAGGTTTTGCTTCATTATGTTCTTGAATTTTGAAGGTAAAAAAAGTGAGTTACATTGTTCTGGAATCTTAAACTGATCTTATTTGAGCCGCCACTTTTTCTTCTTCCTGTTGGATTAACAGTTGTATTTTTCACTGTAGGTTTTAGGTTGAAAAAAAAAACAAATAATACATGGATTCAAAATGATACAGAAAAAAATTTAATTTGTCTAATTAAATTAGTTCTTGTTGGTTTTTATTTTATGCGCTGCATAGATTTTTATTTTTTTTAATTCATTTTGTGCACTGAGAATTCCCAAGCAGGGCACAATAGGACAAAGACACAGGTTAGAGGGAACATTGGTAATATCTATACTCCTACTTTAGTAATACATTTAAATGCTTCAGACACCTTAGTTAGGAAAATGTTTTTTTTTATTCCTATTGTCTGATAAAAAAAAAGGGAATTCTGGCCTTTCCATCAGCTGTAAGCTGTAATCCAAATAATTAAAAACAAACAATATATATACTCCATGCCCCTTTATTTATAAAGCACCTTTGAAATAATTCTGGTAATCAAAGAGCTGTACATACAATATAAATCAATATGGCTGTCAGGAATTAGTATAATACAGGGTTCTCACCAGCACTTTCAGCATATTGGGCCGCTATGCTGTAAGTAGTCAGTGTTATACTAAAATTAGTCCAATAGGCTCATTTTCTAGGTGTATCATCCCTTGGTTCTGTCCAGCACATTTCAAATAACAGTTGATGATTTTAAAAATGTTACTAAAATGAGGCAGACGTGCTGAATTTTAATGATTGTGTGCTAAATTGCTTTACCTCGGAAGACTTTTGCTCTGATACTCAGTGCTAATGGTCCCTCAAAACTGTGTTATTTGTTTAAATGTTGCAGATTGTGCTGCACAGGGAGGACGAGGTGTTGGATTGTGAATGTGATATGGCAATGGTCCATCACCTGCTGTCTCAGATTCCTCAGGATCTGCCATACGAGACTCTGATCAGCAGAGCAGGAGACCTCTTTGTCCAGTTTCCTCCCTCTGAACTGGCCCGAGAAGCAGCTGCCCATGAAAGGTACTTAAGTCATTAGGGTTGATGCTTGTAAGCACATTACATCTACAGGCCATTTGTGCAGTCTATCATTTCTCTGCTTCTAAATGACCGCTTCTTCTTTTTATTAAAAATCACACTTTTTGTCTTTTGCTTTTCACAATCATTACTTGCTGTTCTTTTATTAATTCTTTCAATTTCCCTTTTCTCCCTTTAATGTATCCATTTTCCTTCTAAGCATGGCGTCTTCTACCTTTGAGGACTTTGAGCTTGCATCCACTCAACAACGGCCAGACGCAGTTCTCCGCCGAAGACGCAGACAAAAACAAGCTTCTCCGGAGAGCTCAACAGCGAGCGCTGTCATGACTGTTGCACGGCCTTCAACTGCCCGCCGCTTTGTCAGATTGGCAGTAATGGGTCTGACTGTGGCTTTAGGAGCAGCGGCTCTTGCTGTGGTTAATACAGCTCTGGAGTGGGCCCCCAAGCTGGACTTGTTTCCTTGAACTACTTTTAAAGCCAACCTGCCAACTTTTGTCTACAACTAAATAAAGCTGGTGGGTCTTTTTCAAGAAGCATTTTTGGAGTCTTAACACTTTCTGGACTGGCTAAGCTCAGTGACTGAGTTGGACATGTTAACTCTGTCATCAAGAATATGTACAAACAGCCTGCTCTAAAAGGATCTCATAAGGCACCACACTTTATCCTTAAGGGTATGTAGTTTTAAAAGCTGCTGGCACTCCCTAATGAATCCGTGTTATTATGAAGAAACAATTTCCAAGGACTATCATTGATGTGTCGTAATCAAAGTTTATTTATATTTTGTTATAGGATGTCTGATTTACCGTAATGCTCACTGAGATTTATGCTGAAAGCCTGACTCACTACACTTGAAACTGCTGCCAACTTTGAGAGAATGTGTGTGTGTTTGTGTGAATGTATGGGCGCAACCCATTTGTTTTACTTATTTGATATCTTTACTGAGACCAACTTAAGGATTCGCTCGATCAGCCATCTGTAGAATTAGAAGTATTTCATTTTAGGGGAACATGAAGCAAATTTAGGGTAGTTATTTTACTCTTTTAGTTTATTTGCCCCCTCCAGGGTTTAAAATGTAAAAAATGTTTCTCAATTCTAACATTTCAATGTATCACTATATGTGGAACATCTTTAAAACCTGTTTCAACCTTAATTATTCATTTAAATTAGGGTCATTACTGAAATCTTTATTATATAAATAAGAATGACCAAAATAACTGTATTCTTAAACTATAAAAACTTTAAGAATAAAACTATAGTCACGAAGAAATTTTACATTCATCTTGTTCTTAAAAATATTTCCTACTAGACATACCGTCTAACGGCTTGTCCTCTTTTTCTTTAGTTTGAGTAATTCAAATAATCACTAATGCCTTTGCCAGGTATCTAGAAGTAATCTACTGTAAATAAGCATAAATAAGGAGAATCTCTTAACTGCTGGAGCACAACTGGTCTGCCTTTAATGTGCTATCCTATAAGTAGGCCTTTGGAGAGTGGAATAAAATGAAAACTACACTTTTAATAAACAGAAGGCAGAATCATTTACACATTTAGATGCTGGCAAAAATGACACTTTATTTCATAAATTTAAGCTTTGTACAATATTGATCAAATTATATGTGGCTATTGTTTAAAAATGCTTATATTTTAAGCTCAACTTATTGTTGTAGATTTCAGTCTTGCATTAAAAGCTATTAAAAAGATTTTACATCTAAAGTAGCTAAAGCCTTGGTTAAGATCATAGGGCCATTATTCTGCCCACAATCGCTGATAGGATCCGTCGATAACTCAACAGCCTTCCTGCATAGATTCTGTAGCACGTTGCTCTTGAGCCATGCATCTGGAAGAGGCTAATTTAACCAATTCTAGTGCGTTAACGCAGAAGGGTATGGCAGATAAATGTCAGCCTAAGGCTCACTCTGGTTTTTCCAAATGGCTCATGTCTAATGAAAAAATCTTACATGTATGATCTCTACAGGGCAATAACATTATTATTCACTTGGTTTATATCTGATTTCAGGTATGTCATTTCGTTTTCAAACATACTTTGCTCTTTCTCTGAAAGCGTCACTCATGGTGAATTTGGTTCCTGGGCGTTCAGTGCATTCATGTTGTTCAATCTGTTGCATATTTTTCCAATAAGAGAGTCGCCAAGAAATGGAAATTGAGTAAAAAAAATAAAATAATGGTGATATGAAAGATTGAGTTGCGTTATCTCGAATCTGTCTTTTTTCTTTTAATAGTAGTGGATCACCTACATAAATGTAAAATATATTTATTAAATGAAGAAACATCAAAATTCCCCATGATGTTAAGGTATATGCAGTTTATTTCAAGGAATAACAATCTACATAATAAACCACATCTGGGAATGACTATAAATTCCCAATCACACTGAAGGTAACCTGATGTCCTCATGAAAACATGTTGATCAGTATTGTGGATCACTTGTTCATATAATGCTCCACATTCGGTGGTATTTATTTTCATTGCACTAAGTGGTGTATATGCCTTTTAATGTTTATTTTGTTATAATAAAGCTAGTATACTAATGTTAAGTTGTAAAATAGCTTGATATAATAAACTGGACTGAAAGTGTTTGCTGTGTTCGTGTGAATCCTTCATTCAGTTAGGTCTATTTTATTTTCTGTTGTAATACTTTTAAGATTATTACATTTCAAATATTTTTAAGTTTTATTTTAACCTACTTACATTAAGTAAAAGCTAATTCATTGTTATAAATATTACATATATATAAAATATATATAGTAACATACAAGATGCTTTTGTAAGAGCATGACATTTTGTGCCAAAAAAAAAAAATTTTGGTTCTGAATGCTGCTCACATCTCACAAGAAAAATGCATAAAATCGTGATCAGCTATAAAGCAGGGACTGAGCCGAGAAGTTTCAGATGTTTGTAAATATTTAACCTTATAAGCTGCTGCATGTGGGTGTATCTCCTCATTGCCAAGAATGATGTTCTAACGGTATGCCAAACGTTAAAAATGTATACTCCAATTGGAGAAACTATTAACATTTTTATAGTCTCTAAACAAACATATGCACAATATGGACACGTGTGCACATCTCCTTTACTGTAGTCAAGCCAGAATTTAGATAAATCAGGTTATGAGACTTCAATCTGATGCATGGTGATATACATGAACCTACCTCCTTCAAATATTCTGAGGACCAAGCCACACAGTTGTGCAAGATCATCCATATTGTGGATTTTATTTTTTTAATAAGTTTTTTTCTCTGATGTAAACTGGTCAGATGTGTCAGCCTGTCAGAGTATGATCAGTGTTCCATACAACAATCAGTGCATGTTCTCAAAGTGATAGCAGTTTATTAGAATTAATTTTGCAATGTCCCCATACTGGATGAGAACATTTTTACAACATAAACATCGCAGACATTTTTAAATGCTGTTGCAAAATGTAAAGGTAAGTTCAAAGGCAGCACTGTTCTTCAGTTAAGCTGTGAGAACACAAAACCCACCCAACCAAGCTTAACCAACACTTAAGAGTTTAGATTTTAACTAATATCATTCTAAGCATCACTCTAAAAAAAATACAATGATTCCTGAGTAAATACAAGACAAATCAAAGAGACTTCAATTAAACACCTTTTAAGGATACATGACACAATGTGCAATACATTTCTTTCAGATCTTCAGGTTTGAACACTAAAGAAATGAAGAGATTGGATCTTATGAAACTCGTTGTCATTGCTGATCATCTAAACAATTGAAGACCACCTTAAACTTAAAAGTCCCTAAGTGCAATCAAACAAGTTATATGCACTATGAATAAATGCAATTAAAGTAACCAATGTAAACAGCATCCTTCACCTCGGTCTGCACAGTAGAATGACCCCCCCCCAATGTTCACCACTTACAATTTTAAATACTTTCATCCTAGTCAATCTTTGATTATATTATATGCCATGATTAAAAACTAAAGGAGAAACATAAATAAAAGTCCCTAAATTGAGTCTGTTTAGATGTGGGTTTTTTTTTTACCTTTTGTTTGCACAAAAACTGGTTATTGGAGGGAATAGTTTTAAATGAAACAGCTGAAAGTTAAATCTTACAACACATGACTGATCATCAAAAGTATGATAATGAAGGAACTCTCAGTGAGGTATTTTTCATGGTCTTGACAGTTAGCATCTTTAGCTGTAGATAGATGCATGCCATTTCCCTTTCCCTACAATGGTTAGTGTGCCATCATAGTTAATAATGTGTATAAAAATGTAATGCAGTAATGCGGATCCGCTGCTTAATACAATCCAAATAGTTCACAGTGTTAAGGCTGAGTCGTGTTGAACTAATAAGTGCTTTTTTTGCTTCAGTGGCAGTTTTGGCAGTTGGGATGACAAGCCATGTTGTTGACCCGGCATTTACAACCACCGGATGTATCGCCATGTCCCTGCAAGAAGACAAAAAAGAAAATTAGATGCATAACTCAAAAACTTTTTTTTTTTCCTCCCAGATGATTTAACTACCGGTACTCATGTTTGTGTTGCTTCTTATGCTTATGTGCAGTGATATTTACATTTGGTCCCCATCGAGCTTGTTTAGTGACCCAGCAGATTTCCGTCTTGCACATCAGACAACAGATCCAATCGCAGCCATCTTTTTTCTGGACGATGATGTCACACCTTGGGCATTTCATGGCTTCTCCATTCTGCAGCATGTTCTACGGTAACAGCGTCATTTAACAGCTCTTAGATTTTTGCAAGGCCCACATGAGAAAATGGCAACATTCAAAATGTATATATTGAAACATCACAAAAAAAGTGTGAAACAATCCCTTTGCCAGATGTAAGGCTAAGGTGAAATCATATTAAGTTCCATTAATGACTTTAATTTTGTTCATGAAATAAATCATAAGAATGTGAACTTGTATCAAACTAATTTAACAAAGATCATATTTCCTTGAAAGTTTTCCAGACATTCAACTGTTAAAAACACTTCTGAATAATTCCTTTAAAAAAATGCACTGCTGGTGCATTTATTTAAGTGATCACAGATTTAGAAAGACACCCTCAGTTACTTTACTCAGCTTTAAGGCTGACAAACCTCCAACATCTGCTTGGTCTGCTGAGCTGCTTGATCGTTCTCAGCTCGGACGCGCAGGTCATCCTGATAGTCCTTACAGTTCATGTCCTTGTGAATCGCCTACAAAAAAGTTAGTAAAATCCATTATATCTTCTGCTTCCAATATTGTCGAGAAAATGTAGAGTCAAGATTGCAAAGCTACTCGGCAAAGAAGGCAATTGGTCTCATTGCAGAGGTCGCACTGGAACTCATTGACATCATCCTCGTAGATGCACCACCCTCGACAGTTGGGGGTCTGACAGTGGAAGCTGTGCTCGGAGCGGCTCTCTGCGATGTTCAAACGCAGCTCTAGAAAACGCTGGTGCTCCTCCTCTGTAAGCAGCTGACGAGAGAATCCCAGAATTAAACGTTACATGTTTTTTCATGGATTGGGGAAGATTAATCTGAAATCCTACTACAAATTGACATTAAAGTACAGATTGCAAACTACAACCACAGAGCACAAACATTTCCAGTTGCACCATACTGCAGGGGTAAGACGCTGCCATTTTTACAATACATACTGCAAGTTGGTTATTTCACAAATTCTAAAACTATTTTTGTTAAATATTTCTTTTTACTTAAGGCAATTCAAAATTATGATATACAAATTTCTAATGTCAACCATTCTTAAGTAATACCTTTAACTGCTGTGTGAGCAATTTTTTAACACGGTTCTTTCTTTACGTCTTTATTTTTGCCAATAATTTCTGTCAAACACAAAAAGTTGACAGAGGAAGTTTTGGAGGAAATCCCCTTGGTCCATGGACCTAAATCTGATTTAATGCTTTTAGATGTTCCCCTATGCTGAGGGCAAACCCTAATCATAATATTGGTGGATGAAAACCCAAAGTAAATTAATTGAATCTGACATTATTGAATTCCTGTTGGGAATTCAATAATTTGCAACTGAATCATAAAAGCACCATAAACCCTACAGTACAGTACTCTTGAACATGTCAGCAAATCTCTATACTATTAAGACTGTTACGACTATCTCAAACGACTGACCATGCGGTGGCAAAATTTAAATTAGGATTAAATTAATGAAATTGAAATCATCTAAATTATTCTAAAATTAATTGGCTTCATTCCAATGATTTTTTGCTGTTTTGTTTATAATATTACATCATGACATAAACAGTTATACTTAGAAGAACTATTCACCTTTAACTTGAGTTGACTTATGCTCACCTCTTTTATCTCTCTGTCCAATAACTTGCTCTCACAATCCGTATCTGCACAGCACACCTCCGCATCCTGGCTGTTTATGACTGTCCCTGCGAGACACTCCCTAAAGGAACACATACAACCCACTCACTACACGCATGAACTGCGTACATTTCGATCAGCTGAATGAAATATCTACTTGAGGAAGTCACTTAATACTATTTAAAGTTTTTTTTTTTAACCTCCCAGCCCACTAAAATGTTTTCTCTTAAACCTGCAGAAGGTGTGAAGACATTCTCTTAGCACAACCCCCTCTCCTGGCTGTAGAGTAGACATGCAGATAGGGCAATCTGTCTCTGTAGTATTAGGGATGAGGTTCTGTTCTTCTGTGGCCAAGAGGTACATGTAGTTCTGCTGACGTTCCAGTTCCTGAGCCTATATTTCATGGTTATAAAAAGGATGTGGATCTTTTAGCACTTTTACAAAGTGCTAAATCATTTGTCAGTTTATTAGTGAGCATCAGGTACCTCCTCATAAAGCTGAAAGGCCAGCTGTTCCTGTTGAATACGCAAAACTTCCTCCTGGTCTGGCTCGTAGACGTCTGGCACCTCATAGTCCTGTGGCCTTTCCGCTCCACAAATCTCACAGCCAGGACGTGTTGGTTTGTTAAGAAACGTGCACAGCGTACAGTTCCAGCCAACCTAAACACAAGTACACACAGTTGAATTGGTGTTCTTCCATTTCCACTACTATCATTTGACATGTACCTTGAAGGTTGAAAGCTTTTCATAGATGGTTATAGTTATTGTAAAGGGTATGTTTGAGGTGTCTACTGGTGATAGAAGCTCAAACTACAACCTCCAATGCAATCTTATTACGGGTAATAGTAGGCAATATAGTTCAGCATAAACGTTTTTCCACAGTCATGTGTTTGCATATATCATTCTCAGAACGACCAAAGTTTTATACAACACAAGAATCATTGTGTAGTTTCACTGAGACATTGATAAAAACTCTATGGGCATTTACACCAGTAAATCTTTTCAAACTTGATCATACAAGGTTTTGGTAGAATAAAAATATTAAAGGATGGTTAAAGTTGAATCAGTCTGGTCATTTTTTGACATGAACTCATCTTTTAGTCTTATTCCACAAATTGTCAATAGGCGCATGTCCAGGGTTTAACTACTTGCCTCTTCTTGTTAAATAAGAGACACCAGCTCCAGAGCTCTAAAATTACCTCACTACCTCACTGTTGTTCCTTTCCTGGTACCACTTTAATGTACAACGCCAAATTCATATGTGTATAAGTCACCTGAAATCTGACCTATTTTTTTCCCCTCAATCAACAGTATATATATATTATATATATATATATATATATATATATATATATATATATATATAGACTCACTTTATATATCCCATATACCTTTTCCCCCCTTTAGACTATTGAGCCGATGTGACAACTGAATTTCTCCACTGTGAGATCAATAAAGTCTATCTAATCTTCTCTTATCATAAAACAAATGTTCATGTATGTCTAGGATCATGTTCTGTTTAGAAACACACTTTTAAGCTTACATTCTCTGACTCGAACCCAGGATCCCCAAGAACCTAGGATTTTATCTGGAAACTCTGAGAACTTAAGGTTTGACATTAAGAGATGCTCAAAATAAATTAAAGTGGGGGTGTATATATAATTGTTTCAGTCTGTATGTATTTTCAAAAAGTTTAAATTGTTAAAGCACAATTTATTTAAAGAATTAAAAGGCCCCAAACTGCTATCACAGAAGTCTTCAACAGGGGCTCCATGGAGGTTCTGCATGGGGGTCACGAAAGTCTTGGTTGATTAGATTTTTTTTTTTTTTTTTTTTATATATATCCCACCCTGCAATGTTTTCCACTAATTGAAATGTCTTTAAATACACATCAACATGAAATCAACACACTGAAGTAAACAGATAAAAGGAGGCAGAAGATGTCTTTCAGTCATCAATGCACAGATTCAGCGACACACAGGAGCTCTTTCAAGCTGGGCACCGTTTCATTCACAACACCTGTCCCATCAACCAGAAATCTGAATCAGACATACTTTAATAATCCCAGGGTGAAATTACTGTTGTTACATTACTCCATATGAAATAGACTGACTATAGGACCAGTCTGATATCACACAATTTCATACAATATATATAATTAGGGGGTCCCTCTCCATCTCGCCATCAGTTTGGGGGTCCTTGGCCTGGAAGACTTTGTAGACCCCTGTGCTATCACATTCATGTCCATGTACTGTATGCAATTTTTTCAACAGAGCTTTAAATGTCAGACATTAACAAATCTATTATTCTACATTGTTTAGATTCTTACCTGAGGCTTAGGAGGCAAAGGAGGTTTGGGAGTAGGAATGTTTTTTGGAGGAACAGGAGGAGGAGCCCTTTTTTCGGCAACACCCACCCCTCTAGGCTGAAGCTCAATAGAATGCAGAGATTCCACAATACCTGAAAAGAGCAATCAAAGCATAAGAAAATTTAAAGTATGTAATATGTTGTGCTGCAAATCAGGATTTGGTTGGATAAACTCAAATTTACTCAGTTTGGCCCACAAAAAATGCCAAAGTATTTAGCAACTTCATTTATCTAATTTGGAGATTAAAAAAAAGGATTAAACCATCTGTCTGCTGAATTGTTGTAAAAAAAAAAATAGAATAAAAAAAATAATAAGCACAGAAGACAAGAAAGCATCTTATGTCACTGCAGTACGGATGACTGCTTTACTTACTAGCCAAACGCTGCTGTTCCTGGTCCTGATTGTGTTGGTGCCGTGTGAGATGGGCAGCATCGGCAGAGAGGATAAACAGGAAAGCCTGATCTCCACTCTTGCGAACGCCGTGGCTGTATAACGTGTCCTGGTCCTGGGCTAGGCGTTTACCGATGACCCAGCGCTGGAGTGTTGGGTGGAACCCAAAGTCCTGGCTGATCTGGGAAGATCAAGGAACAGCATGGAATGCAAAAAATGTACATTCAAAAGAATAAACACATACCAGGTTTAAGGGTGTCACAGTAGTCAAGTTAAGTTACAACCATGAACTTGCTGTTTTGTGCTAAAAATAGACAAACTGAAACAAGTGCTTACTGTCGAAGTGAAATGAAACTAAGATATTAGGGCTGTGCAATGCAAGGAAAATAAATATTTGTGGCGCTTTGTGAAAAAATGTGATTAGGACGCCGATTACATTAACACATAATTTGATGGCTCCTTTCTTTCTTTTCAGTTCTTACAAAAAATATTTTTTTTCTGTGAGCTTAGCATCTCCAGGAAGAAAAATATGCTCATAATGTGCATCAAGGCCAGTTTGAGACCATCGAACCAGCTAAAGTTTCAATTGATATGCAGAGCATATGCCACTTTAATTACCACCATGTGTCAATTTACCAAATATTTTATCAAAGCAGTCTACTGCATTTGCAGTATTGCAAACATTTATATTTTGATACATTGCGAACCTCAAACAAATACCACAATGTTTTTACAATTAAGAATGTCAAACATTTGGTATCCATTTTTATTTGTCCTATTTGATCTAATACCTCTAACTAGATCCAGTTAAACCTATTCCCAGTGGAGTGCATGTGTGGGTCATTTAACTCAAATACAGCTGTTCTGTAAAGGTCTTGAGGGTTGGCTGGAGACCATGAGTAATCATGAAGACAGTGGGCCAAAAGATAGGTCACTAATAACTTGAAGCTGTAAAGAGACCCCTTGGAAGTTTAGAGAGCCAAAAGAGATCAAGAGTTCAGAATAGATAGTCTTCTAGCTTTCATTGAAAGGGACAAGAAGGAAACCATGGTTGAAAGAATAATGTATGATGTTGTGTTTGTAATCTACATGGGGGTAGGTCATAACAGCAGGTGGCTACAAACATGTAAAAAAAAAGGATGTTGTCAATATAACCCTAAATGTAACCTTTTATGCCAAAACATACATTGTACGGAGAAAAAAAATCACGGCATGCAGCCTTAACACAGTATTCTATTATGAAACCATGAAGGGATCATTTTTTAACAGCAGGAAAAAGCTGGGTAGAATACACGAGGGAATGCATGGGAATCAATACAAGGCAAACCAGGAAGTAAAACTTTTTAAGGCTTCAAAAGCCTCAGGATTGGAATGGGGTACAAGTTAAAGCAGTAAAAACGCCTTAAACATAAAACCAGTCCAGTAATGGAATGCACATTAATGTAATAGAATGGCCCATTATCCACACATGAATAATCTGGCAAATAATCTGAGGCGTAGGAGTCAGCTGTACAGATTTTCTCCAGTAAAAGATTTTTTTCTACTTTTTTTTTTTATTAAGACTGCAAAATATCACCAAATCTAAACAGACGTTCAGCTATAATACCAGCAAAAGATGGCTCAACTCTGCTTACTGATACATATGGTGCTGAATACAAATACACACCACAGTTGATTGTTTTTAATAGTTTTTAACAGTCACTTTCTGTTGGATTACCATATAAAAAAAACAAAAATCATAAAAAAGCAACACTTTGCAGTTGCATTGCGACAAATATAAAGAAAAATCCAATGTTTATGAACACATGGATTAGATGCTACCGTGATATTTTTATGACCAAAGTAAGTGAAAGCAATGATTTCATTTTATTTTATTTTATTTATTTATTTATTTTCTTTTACCTTTTCTTTAAGTTCTGATATTTTCATGCCAGAGGAAACAACAAGAGTCACTGGAATATAGTCCTCTGACTGGGCATCCTCCACACCCACCATCAATCTACACAGAAGAAAACAACATATCTCATTAGATGAATCTAACATTATAGCCATTTAGTAGGATTTGTTTATTTATATATAACCAGAAAGTTAAAAAAAAGACAATCTACTAACTTTTAATAGTTAGAGGTAATATAAATGACTTTTTCTACATTGTCAGTCACCTGATGGAGTCCTGAGGGTATGCATGGTTCTTGATGCTGACTGACACTGCAACAGAGAGAGCAGAGAGCTTCTCACACAGCTTAGCAGCCTCTTCAGAGTCTCCACTGCTGATGGCTTCACCCAGGGAAAGGGCCAGCTCCTCAGCTGCACCATCAGGAAGAGTTCAAAACATCACGTGACTTATTGTAATGTCATTTTTACCACTTTCTGAAAGAACCAATTGCAATCTAAGCAGTTTATTTTGCGCAGTTTTCCACTTGCATTGCCCTTCATGAACATACTGTAAAAGAAAACCTGTTTAACACGTCACAGCTGACTATTCAGCCTATCTGTATCAACTTGTTTACAAGTACTGTATCATACTACAGTGAAAATAAAATTAATAATAATAAAAGCTGACAAACTGTCTAATAACAGACATTGGAGGGAGAAATAAGTTAAAGTACAATCAGATTAAAGGATAATTAAAACAAAAACAATAACTCACCTTCTTTCAGGTTCCCTTTCGGTAAAACTTCAGAAGCCATTGTGTCTTAGACGCATGAATGACGCAAAGTTCACAAATGGCACCAAACAGAAACTTTCTGTTGACAACCTTTATGGTTGATTAACTCTCCGTCCAAAATGCTCTTCGGTTGTTCCACTTAAACATACAACATTGTTCGTTTGAGTCAAACAAGGAGTAAATATTGGGTTTACACAGATTAGTTCGTCTCTACTCTTCCCTCCCTGTAGAGCGGCTGTCATCGGAATAGAAAGTGAAACCGCACATTCAGGAAGGTTGGCCTACATTTAAAGGAGTCCACCTCTCCTCACCTTTTGAACATTATGTTTGAGGGTTTATATTTAAATTAAGGAGTTAGTCACATAGTTTCTACAATTAGAAACTATGTGAATATTATTTACAAAAAAAGCTTCTCTTTTCTTTTCTTTTTTTTTAAGTTAGAGCAGTAACATCCAGCAGATGGCAGCATATTTCTAGAGTTGACCTACTGAATAACAGCTGGCTCCATGCACAACTCCACCACTCCATGAATTTAAGGCAGTTCTTTAGTTTCCTGTCTTTTTCTATTGGGTGAACTGATTAATCCAGGTGTGTCTGGCCATGATTACTGAGTTCAGCCACACCTGGATTAAACTTAATGCCTTAAATTCAGGAAGTGGTGGAGTTGTGCATAGAGGGCATGTGGATGGTCGTTTGGTGCATGGCGCGTGTTTTGAAGCTGCTTATGGAGAAATGTCTTGGGCCGTGAGTAGTGAGGAAACAGGAAGCGATTCTTGTGGGATGGAAGAGGGAAATAGTGACAATGAAGGTTGGAAGATAGCAACATCAAAAAATGAGAAAAAGCGGAAAAAACAGAGATCAGTTCAAGGGGAATCTAGTTCAGAACAATCCAGTGATGATCATTCCATACATTCCACAGCACAACAAAATGAATTCAAAGTCATATTCAAAGTCGTTAATCAGGCAGACTCTTTTACAAATTGGAATCCGGTTCACTTAACAAAAACCATCAATAAACTTGTCGGAGAAGTCAGAGGTGCCAGAATTCTGTACAGTGGAGACCTGCTAATTATCTGCAGAGACAGCGCCCAGCAAGGCAAAGCAATACGGATCAACAAAATTGACGGGATAAGAGTTCAGTGCAGCTTAATGGAGAACAAAAAGTTCAGCAGGGGAGTCATTGGAGGAGTTCCTCTAAAAATTTCTGAAAAAGAGATTCTGGAAAACATAAGAGGTGCAAAAGTAAAAGAAGTAAAACGGTTAAAAACAACAAGAAACGGAGAAAGATCTGACAGTTTATCTGTGCTAATTAAATTCGAAGAAGAGCAATTACCAAGCAAAGTATTCATCGGTTACATAAGCTATAATGTCAAAATCTACAATCCTCCACCATTGAGATGTTTCAAATGCCAAAAATTCGGTCACATTGCAGCAGTTTGTAAAGGGAAACAGAGGTGTGGAAGGTGTGCAGGAGAACATGAGTACGGAAAATGTGGAAAAGAAGCTAAAATAAAATGCTGTAATTGTGGTGGAGAACATACTGCTGCCTATCGCGGCTGTGAAGCAAGCAAAAGGTCTGAGGAAATTAAAAAAATGAAATTTGAGCTCGGAATAACCTACGCTGAAGCTGCAAAAAGGATCCCATCTCAGTCAGAAAACCCCAAACCTACAGTTCAACACACAGCAAATTCCAAACCTCTAGAGAAATCTCTAAAAATTGATGAAGACTCACTTATTGTTAAAAAGACAAATTTTGTTCTTTTCATGGTAGAAGTTATTAATTGTACTGCACAGACAACAAAAAAAACGGAAAAAATCAAAATAATAGTGAAGGCTGCAGAAAAATATCTGGACATTAAAGATTTGAACTGGGAGATGGTTGGAAGTATGATGGGAGGACCGATGGGACCATCAGAAACTGGCAGAGTTAAGATGACCTAGAGTAAATTAAAATTATATGGGCAAATGTGATTTAGTATTATGTTGGTTTAAGTTACACAGGTTTTTTTTTTTTTTTTTTTTTTTTTTTTTTTTTTTTTTTTTTTTTTTTTTTTTTTTTTTTTTTTTTGGGGGGGTGAATCGTTTCCTGTTTTCTTGCTTTACTCCATATCAGTTGGTGGCGGTAATGCACAATTCACAAGTCTGCCAACCGCCATAAAATCCCATAAGAAGAAGAAGAAGTTGTGCATAGAGCCCATACAGATAACACAAATGGGTGCAATTCAGTGTCAATGGATAGAATGCTTAAATTAAAATGCTGTCACATAGCCGACTTGATAAACTCTCACACATGTCACTCAGACAAACATATAATGAGAACACAAAGAATACAAACCTATTAAAAGACAAAATTAAGAAGTACAAAACGCAACACTTACCGCTTGGATATGTAGATTTAATTTCTCACCAAAGCAAGAGATAAAAAACAGCAGCCAATGATCTCATATTATAAATATAATGATTCTGAGACTATATTGATGTAGTTTTATATTTTTTTTTGAATAGACTATATCTGGTTATGCTAGTTTATGGTAAAATAAAGTTAACACAACAAAACAATTCAATTATAGCTCTTACTGTAAGTTAAAGATTGCCTTGCTTCTGTTAGAGGAATCTGTAGAGCAACACGTAATTTGCAGACCCTGTCAATTTCCTCGCCCAGAATTTCCCCATACCTGCAGTATCTCGTGCATCATCTAACAAATTCTACCAAACTTGGTAAATAAGTTTGGCTACCGTTGATGGTCAGGGCCTGGTGGTGCCTGTGTATGACAGCCTTGTCTCTGTCATTCTGGTCCAGGAGCTGATGTGGCTGTAATCTAGCTACCATCAGTTTGTTAATGTTGTGTTAATGTAGTGGAAATTGTTTTGGGGTCCTTAAAAATTGATAAAGAAAAGCCATTTACCGTTTTTCACAGAATGATGCTGTCTTCACTATTTCTCTCTTTGGACATAGGGTCTTTATACATTGTTAGCTTTCTGCTCCAACTACCATTCTGCATAGGTCTCATCTGATCAAAACTCTATTATTTTCTTTTTCTCCTTATGGCAAATTGCAAACATTTTTCAAAGTTTCAGATTACTTTTCTTTAAAATAGCTTTTCTTCTTGCATCATCTATAAAGTTTGGGTTTGTGGACTCAATGGTCATTTTCAAGCTTCACAAAAAGAGAAAAGCATTTCTAAAACATAAAACTTCTCACCTCGTTACAACATAGTTGATTTTTATTGTGTCATACTCTTTTTGCTGATGGTAGATAAATATCCTGCTATGAAAAGTCCAAAGCTTTAAATACTTTCTTAAACGTAATTACTGATCTGTTTTGTGTGTTACTTTTTCTTCATGATGATGCTTGTTCAAATCCTCATCTTTCAGTGACTGATAGCAGACATGAATAAAGATTGAATAGAAAATAGTGTGATTATTTAATTATACTTGTTAAGGGTTGCACTGGGATTTACTAAGAAAAAAGCAAAAATTATTATTATTTTTTTTATGTCAGAAATGTGCCCTTTGTGTTGAAATCCTAAAATAACTTCCTGGTTACAGAGTGTGACTTCATTTGAAAAATGTTCTGTTAATGATTAATTTCACAAGAGAATCTATAATTTATTGAAATAACCGAATTCCTTCAAAACAGCCGCAATAAGGTGTTTACTTTTCCTGCTGAAGTTAACACATCAAATCCAGATTGAAGGCGCACCTAAAGGGGCCAATCACTGCAGCTCCAGCAGGAGGAGCTCAGCTGAGCAGCAACACAAAGTTGCTGAGCATCCTTTAGTCCCCGCCTGCCTCTCTGTCTGACTCCTCTCTCCTGCCTGTTTCCCTTGCATTTGCTCCAATTCGCTTCAGCCTGCGAGAGTTTCACAGTTCAGAAGTGATAACCATAAAGAAGTGGCGTTTGAAAAGATGTTGGCTTGCGCCGAGATGATCACTATGTGCCTGCAGTCGGCCAAACAGAAGCATCTTCAGGCTCAGCAGCAGCAGCAGCCGCTCCACAGCTCCGGACAGGGGCTCACTATCTTTCATGATGTAAGTTAAAGGCTTTTTTTTATTCGACCCCTGAAAAAAAAAATCCTTTTACAATCTGCTTATTTAATTATTCTATTACACCAGCATAAAGATAACAGTTAATATAAAATGTTAAAAATAATATAAAAGAGTCCTAGAGCTGATTCAAGGTGTAACACGGTTGCCTTTTTTTGTTATATACATAAAAATTATAATGGAAGCAGATACGGGAGGGTTTTAGATTGGGAGTGTGTGTGAACGCGCGCGCGTGCGTGTGTGTGTATGTTAGTGTAAATAAGAAAGACGGAAGAACTGCAGCTGAGCCTCTGCATGATAAATTAAGCTCTCAGCTAGACAGTAAAGGGTTGCTGGGGTTTCTTCCCTCTTGTAACAGTTTTATTTTTCTTACCAGCCTTTAACCAAATGACTCCAATCTATTGTTCATTTATAATTCTATATTTTATAAAACTCTCGTAACAGGAAGTTTTCTGAACATATTTTTTGGTTCCCTGAAGGATGGTGGAACATGTTTATTTTGTTCTAATTTTCCCTTTGATTGGTTCTGACCTGCTTTTGTCCTTCATAGCAGCCCTCTGCTAAAACTGTAAACATGCATGCTCATAGACAGCCCTGCTTCAAATGCTGCCCTAACTTACACCACCTGCTGTCAAATTAACCTGCAATGCTGCCATAGAAACCATCCTTGTAGGTTTTCAAACCACTGATGTTTTCAGATTTGAACCCATAAAGCTGACATTTTTAAATCTAGTCAATTACTCTGACATTATCCAGATATAATTTGAGAGGTTATCTTACTAAAATACATTCTGATCCATGTGAACAAATTGGAAGACATAAAATTTTTAGTCCTCTGCAATGCATTTTTCTATTAAGAAAAACATAAGAGATCCAGTCCACTGAATGTGTCACTTAATAAAAACATTGTGCTTGAACCAGCCAATCTCACTAAAAACAAAAAAAAACAGCCATGTTGGACCAACATAGGTATTAAATGTTTTTTTTTTGTTTAGCCTGAAAAAATCTGACAAAAACTTTTACATCCAGGTAATATAGAATTGCACCCATAATTATTAATTAGATTGATTAGTAGAATATATAAAGTATTAGCCATTTAGCTCAATAGCTGTTAGCTGAAAGTTACTGTGGTTACAAATGGTTTCTCAAATTTCACCACAAAGTGCGATTTTTAATCACTACTGAAATTTAAGCAATATACCAGCCTTTCAAGACAAGCA